AGTGACAGGAAAGTTGAGTAACAGCAGTAAAGAAGAGTAACTGTTACAACTGAAGAACACAAGAACAAATGGGCATAAATTCAGTCATGAATATATTTAGGCTGGAAATTGTTCCTAACCATCTGGGTCAGGTTCTGGGACACGAAGTTTTTGCCTGTGATAACATCTGATGATTTTCTTCCAATCCTACATTCTCAGAAACTGGAGGAGGTGCAAGAAAGAGCTATTATAAAAATGCTACTTGAGGAAAACGTGCTTTAAGCGGGATAATAAATCACATCTATTCAAAGAAGGTAGGGATCACAGCTTAAGAACATTTCTAGGAAGGAAAGGCATTGAACAATAAAAAGTCTTGCAGTCAAACAAAAGATGGCATTCTGAGATCCAAAGACTCAGGTGAGGGTAGATAAATTTGGTTAGAAATAAAAGTGAACAATTTTAACAGTGGGGTAATTAAAACATCAACTTACTTGGAGATTTTATAAAAGCTCATTACTAAGTTTTACACATCATGACAATGTGCAACAGCTGAATCTTAATGAATGACATTTTAAGATTCTTGTTCCTCTGCCATAAATGTATTAAATTTTAAATAAATTTGCATAATAGACACAGGTAGGCCTGCAGGTAAAATACATTGTGAAGTCAAAATACACTTGTTGGAGTTGTTCAAGAAGCACAAGTCAAAAGTGGGAGAAAAGGACACTCCTTCTACTGGTAAACACCAATTCCTAATCTGTAGTTTATAGGAAAAAATGTGTTAGTTAATGAGTTCTCTAATATTAAACCTCCTTCTGGCATCAAATATTGTGTGACTTCTCTGAAGGCTTTCGTTCCCTCTTTGCTTGATAGTGAGGATTCATATGAAAAATATGTTGGAATTTCCTACTGCTAGCTGTAGTTCTCTTGTGGAACAGAAATGCTAAGCAATACTGCAGAATGCATGGGCACAGAAACCACTTCAGTCAATGAAGTTTAAAACACGCAGATACACATAAGCTCTGATAATTGCAAACACTACTGCATTTTTATAAACAATCTAAACAAATAAGGTATTTCCATGAGAAGTTTTGATGCTTCTGCATGTAATTCAAGGAAGCTGACCCATACATTTAAGGGGGAATTTGGTGGATATTCCTTCTTTTTCTCCAATAGAGAGTAAGAAACAAATGTGTAAATGGGAGGCTTGTGTGACCAGCCTCCCTCAATAAGCTTCAGAGCCTCCACAGACTCAGCCCTACCTTTCCTTTCTTGAGAGCAGTGTAGACATCTTTGTATTGCTGGTACTTTTCCAGCTCTGCCTTCACCAGCACCTGACGGATGTGCATGACTTCCTCCACCGTCAGAGCCAGACATTCCACTGGGTAACAGAACTCCTCCTGGAAGCCAAAAAAACTCATATTATTTCAAAGCCAAATGGTTTCTTCCAGACTTCAACCTAGACAACCAGTCACCCGGTTAGTAACTCCAGAAATAGAGGGTTTCTCCCTTCAAACTGGAATAGCATTGGCTCATTCATGGGCATCACATGAGTTTCAAACTGTTGGGAGACTGCGTAAGTGTGATCTAAACGGTCTGATGTTCAGCCTTCACAACAGTAACAGTCTTCTTCATCTTTCCTCCTCAAACCACTTGACTCTTCTCTCAAAGATTTGTTTCAAACCAATCAACATTCAGGTTTATAATTTGAAAGGGAAAAGGTAATTTGGCAGGTGGTATTACTATTAAGTATATTCTTTGAAGACACGCAACTTCTCTGAGACTTTGTGGTGCCCAGAGCGGCCAAGGAAAGTTATTAGTAGCCCATTCTAGCAGAAATTTTTATTCAGTGGTACCACATCTTGGTGCTCACACGATCAGAATGCCACCAAGACTACAAAAAGTTAGAGCAGTTCAGGCAGAAAAGTTCTCCTTTCTGCCCCAGGAAAGTAACAACAGCAATTTAAGCTTTATAGAACAACCTTCAAATAGAAAGCAGGAGAACTGGTTACCCAGTGTTGCATTATTAACGGCAGAGACTCAAACAGAGACTAACAATACAACTTCCCCCTTACAAAATTTTGTGTCTGGTCTGTATTACAGCATTTAGGAGAATATTGAGTAGAGAACTCCTGAATTTGGTACCAGAGAATAAAAAGCACCAACCCAATTTGTAATCCAGCCTCGTAGTTGATTATACATTTCCAACAGAAAGACAGAAACCTCTGTGGGAACTCCCATGGCTTTATGCTTAGTGAACCTTTTCAGTCAGCCCAGAGGGGCTACTGTGCAGTAATGACAATGACACGTAATGCTCTCTGAATAAATGAAGGAAATTTCTCCTGCAAATACAAAGACGTGGTTGACAGTTTGGAGATCTCGTTTATAAATTGAAGTGATGAATTGGATTAGCAGCGAAATGCTCCATTTCCACATACCCAGAGGTCTGTTCTGTCTTTCCATTAGATTAAAAAGAAAATCTTTCTATGTTGCAGACCTGGCAAACATTAGCATTTAGGAACCACCACATTGTTAAAAACTGTTGTCTTACCTATCTAGAAAGGGAACACAAAGAAACTTCACTCTGTTTAAGGTACCCCACAAAAGACTAGAATTGAGTCAACTTTGTTAGATTTGCCAGCTAAACCTTTGGGGTATAGAATCACTAGTTTTCTGCAAAGAACAAACTACATCAAAAGCAACTGCAATTTGCTCTGAGGTGTAAAACTGCACAGCCAAAACAAAATAACCTCTGTTCCTTATGAGCACATTTACAGCTAACCGGCAGCTCTCAGGGTTTCATTCTGAGTTCTTCCCATAGCAACTGCCTCACTATGGAGAAAGCACGGCTGAAGGCGGGGGCGAGACGGGAGAGGAAGTGGGTGGGAAAGCGTGATGCACACAATGCCAGCGAAACCCGCGATTCTGCATCGTGGGAGACAGGGAGAAACTGTCCGAGGTGAATGAGGCTGACTGAGGCTTGTAATCAATCAGAGCTTTAAGTCCTTCCGAAATACATTTCTTACTTGAAGCTCTTCCTTCCCCCTCATGAACGCCCACTCCTTTAATTTACAGAACGATGACGTCAGGGAATACTGCTCCTTTGAAGAAAGTCTGCGGGTCTGCTACAGGTGTAGAGCAGGTACTAGGGGAATAGTGTGGGCCTGTTGTTGTACCAATTGAAAATTATTATTGCTAAAGCAAATAGAAATAGCTAGCAGGCAACAGGGGAAACATAGAAAATGTTCACATGTTTAAATGCTAATGTTTTAATTCCAGAGGTTACACAAGGACAACAAAATGTTAATGCAACATTAAATGAAAGATAAATATTATGCTGATTTCAGAAAACAGCTTGATTTTTTTTCCCTCTTTTTTGGGATAGAAATAAGTACACAAGAAAATCTTCTGTCTCAACACTAGCTCTAAGGCATTGAAATTAATTAGAATTATGCCAAGCACTGACTAAACTTCATTAAACAATGATGCTTTGGAGTTATTGCTCAAACTTCCAACAATAATCTGCACCCAAATTAGCAGCTCCAAGTAAGAAAACTTCAGCTCTCCGCAACACTTGCATACAACAGAACATAACTAAAAAAAAAATGTGGTTTGAATAGTCTTGATTTTCTGGAACTGCACTCAACACTTATTTTAATATTAAAGATAAGCTGGTATTCTTAAAAGGGAAAAAAATCTTATTTAAAAATATTATTTCAGACTTTAAGTTTCCATGATCCTCTTGAGAACTGGCTTAACACTTTGGGCAATCATCTTATATACACCGCGATAGCTTAAGGTGTATATGTGTAATTTTTTTTTACTCAGGAAAAGCAGGTAGTAAGGATTACATATCCACAATGTGAAATAAAGTGCTTTGTAGGTCATTTTCAGCATAGACATACCTAGCAGGTCCTTATGACTAACACATTTTTTTACACTAACATATTCCTTGTAAAACTTCTCATTAAAGATGTCACTAGGCATTAAAATGAGCTGCACCAGTAAACTGCAATATGAACAAATGCCGGATTGGCCTCTGAATTCTGCAATTCACAATTAGTCAAACACTCTAAACTGTCGTTGCTCTTGCAGACTAGAAGTTTTTAAGAAGTCAGCTGGATATCTGAATTATAAACTCTCCTGCAACAGGTTTCACACTTTCACTTATTGGCTGGGACAAATGAAGGAAAAAATTAAATTATTCATGTTCAATTCTACATAGGGGTAAATTAATTAGTTTTTCTTTTCAGTAGATTTGCCTTCCCTAGTACGTAGCTATTAGTTATCCTGCAAGTTCTGATACGTAAGTGTGCTAAGGACCAAAACAATATGTAGGTTCTCAAGTAAAACAGACTGCAAATGCCCTTCCATTCTACATAGTGTACCCTGGTAGAAACATAAAACCTTACTCTTTTCAACATAGTCCAATGATTACAATAGTTTTGCTGGATTTTTGCTACAGGATCTTCATGTGCTGTAACATTTAAAGTCTGTCCCATTGATAATCTTGTGATGTTGCATTTTTAGTTTGCTGTCCTTTCAGAACTGATTTATTTTGCCCGAGAGGTGATTGAAGACACACAAATATCCTACACACATTGAAATCAATGTCAATCAGGTGCAATGTCCCAGCCTAAGCTTTAATTCTTGCCACAGCTTAGGAAGTGCTCCCCTAGGAGGGAACATGCTGGTGAAGGTGATTTCCAAAGCCAGCAAAAAGAGGCAAACCTTTGCGGGTTTCCACCTGCTGGCAAAAGCTCTCTCACAGAGATAGTACATAGCCCCTGCCACCCCACACATGGCTGCTTCAACGGGATGAGAGCTTAGCAGAGAAGCTGTTTGCATAGTTGAAAAAAGTGGTCTGAAATTCATCCTTGGAAATAAACTGGTTATCCTAGGAACCTGAACAATAAACAGGAAGCAGAGAAGCGAATGCTGTGTATAAATGAAACCATTAGCTTTGGTGCTCTGGGTCATGAAAAAGTAGTAATAATAATAATAATAAAGAAAAAAAAAGAAAACAGACTACAAAGGCATCCACGTGTACATATCAGGACACTGGTTTCATCTCACTCATTAAGCACCAAGTCGGCTCACTACAGCAAGCACATCACCAGGGCTGATGACCCCCCCACATCACTGAGCTGCCCTGTCTTTCCACATGGCACTGGTAGGGTGACATATCGAAAGGACTGTCTGGCATTTTTCCAAGTTTGTTTCCCCTCCCCACCTGCTTAGGTCTAACTCCCTCTGTCTGATGAGACCCCAGTTCACAAAACTGTCGTTAGTATGCAAGACAGACCAGTTTCTTGCTAATCCTGCTAAAAGACTGTAGCAAACTCCTGCCTGTTTTCACTGGCATTGAGGGCTATGTATTGACGAAGCCTCTTTCACCTTGGAGGGAAACTGCGGTGACAGGAGCAGGTGATAAGAAATGAAACTCCATCAATCCTGGGGGAAGGGATGAAGAAGTGTGAGGTCAAATAAAAAGTAAGTTATATTCTGCACTTATTGAGAAGCGTTCAGGCTGGGAACGGCGATGTTACATGTACAGCATCTGGCGCAGCCACTGAAAGAAGCTGCATCCCTCTGGGAAGGAAAGACTTGCAGTAAGCCAAAGCGGGGAACTGGGCCGGTGCCAGCATACCAGAAATCATCTACCAAAACTAAAAACAAAAGTACTGTGGGAGTTGTCTGTCACACCCTAGAGGGCACTATTGCCAAGTTAAAGAATTAGCTCTCTACCCTTCAAATAAAATAGGTTCTTATTAACGGAACATCATTTTACTACTGATTTTCCTTCTTTCTCACTTCATAGACAAAACCAAGCTACGTGACAATTCTCTAAAGACAAAAAAAATCCAAAAACCCAAGACCCTCCAAAAAACCCCAAGCACAAAAGAAACTAGTAAAACCTTTCCCCTGTGTTCCCACATTAGCCTAACTTATCTAACAGCTTTTTCTCCCTTTTCCTTTAGTATTTGTAAGGGGGAGTGGAATAATGGAATTAGTTTTTCTGCAATGGTTTTATTTTATATATAGTTTTCTAGGCATACGTCAGTGAACAGACTGACAGAGGGAAAAATATGTGTGCGGACAAAAAGGTCCTGTTAAGAACTTGGTTGACCTATTTAAAATAACAGCCTCATATGTGAGATTTTTAAATTGCATGATCGCCTCAAATATATACAAGATCAACATTACAATGTAACATATTTAAAAACACTAGAAGTGTGATGGGGCAAATGCTTCAGTATAACATATAACGCTTTGTCCCCTCCTCCCTTTAAACAGTATGTTTGTGAATGACTCCGGGCCTATCAGAAAACAAAGCTTGTGCTTCCACATACACTGAGTGCAGCAGGCAGTGACAGGGCAATCCATTTTATAGGATGGTGCCTTCAAACACATGCTGAATGAAAACCTCCAGCTGGGTTCTGGTGCAGTATGTGCTGCTCCAAGCTAACTTTGGCAGAAGCCTACTTGTCTTGTACGTTTATCAACATGCTACTACCTGACCTTCACCTGGAATGAAAAACTACATTCTACTTGGAAGGATGGAATAAACAAAATCCAGCGGTCCCTCTGGAAAGAAGAGGAAGAAGCATGTTGTGGGAATATTTGGAGATTAATATTTTCTTGTTACTGTTCAACTTCATCATCTAGTAGGTTTGTATCCTGGCGATCAGCTCTTGGGCCAACAAAAACACTCTTCAAAGCCCATTAATACCACTGCATTACAAGACAGGGCAAGTGAATATTCCCTTCCTTTCACAACTAGGATGTGTTTATTGATTTCTCTATTCATCAGCACCTCATGGGGCATACTCCGAAACCCTGCTGGTAAGAAAAGAGACAAGGAACATATCCTGCATGAAATTACAAAGCACTAATCAGTATGTTAGCATAAATGAACCAGGATTTCATACCCTTTGCTGTTTATACCCTGTTGGAAAACAGCTCTCAATTAAAGGTAATTGATCAAAGTACTGTACTTTCTTTTCAAGCAGTAATACATGTTTTTGCCTCAGTAACTTTAACAAAGCAACATAGACAAATCTTGATTTGGATTACTGAAAGAGCTTTCACATGTATAAACATTACCACGCAAGTTCTTAAGGTGGGAAGAAAAGAAACCATTCCATTCATTCAGACATTATCTAAAATACTTCCACTAACTAAAAAATTCCCCCAAATCCCAAAATAGATGCACTGTTTTGGAATTGTCTCTATTCAAATGGAAAATCAGTAAGGTGAAGTTCATCTGTTTTGGTAACATTCCAAAATAACACCAAGACACGTAGCTTTACCCAGAGTCCTAATCAAAGTGCAAATGTTTTCTGAGGCACCTGTACTTGGGATTTTGGATAAATATGCTAGGAGACAAAGTTCAAATCTTGATATCAAAATGTCTTTAGTAGCCAAGGGCTGTTTCTAATTGAGGAGTTTTCTCTGAGTCAAGTTCTAATCACACTGAAGCCAAGTTTTAATTTTCATTATACTCTTAGCATGCCTCTTTTTCTCTCTCCTACCACCCACTCCACTTACAAGTGATCTGGAGCTCTGTTTTGAAGGTGGTAGGAACTGTCTCACATTGGTTGGTGTTTCCTTTTCAATGGAGTGTCGTCTCTGAGGTGGCTGCCGTCTCTCAGGCTGTGGTGTAGATGATATAGGCAAGAACTTTGGAGGCACTAAAATTCAATCAGTATAAAGAAGTTAGTTTTTGTACGACAGACTGTTGGATAACATTGCTCGGTACTTAAACCACCCGCTGGTTTGCTAGAATTCCCAGTATTGGTGGCTGAAGTTACACATGCGTACTCAGAGCATCTTCAAGACAGGTATCACATTCATCACGTTTTCCAGATTGAGAGAATAGGAATACTCATAAAACTGGCAAATATAGGCATGCTACTGTCCAGTTACCATTATATATAGATTCAGTATTTCAGAGTATTGGTTTATTCTATTTATTTTGCCATTGTGCACAGAAAATACATGCACAGATTATACATTTCATTACAAAACCTTTCCAGTGAAACTGATAGTTTAAAACAAATGAAAAATATTGTTACGCAGTAAAGCCTACAATAACTGTGCCTGAAAAAAAAAAAGAACAGATCCTCCCCTCTTAGCAGGAAGTACTTACAAGAAATAGTGGTGATTGCTATGTATCTTTCAAGCAAGTAAATTCACTGCCACAGTGATGCAGGAAACATTTAAATTTGCTCTTAGGTTAGAATGTGTTTCTGCAGTCACAAATCTTTTTATGAGATGAGCATAACTGAACTACCTCCCATTCACTTCTGACTTCCTCTACAGTTCCACATCAAATTCAAGTATGAATCCACCTTCTGTTTCACAAAGATATTCAGATTTAGTGTCCAACTAATGCCTTCCAATTGTTTATCACATTTGACCTATTCTGCAGGTTCTAGGGTTCAGCTTTGGAGATTTATTGCATTAACAACACTCAGCTTCAGCTTTCTATAAAAGTTTCAGACAAAGTTAATAGAACAGAAGACAACAGAAGTGTGTAAAAGCAGCCACTGGGCTCTCTCGTCAAAACTCACTCTTTCGGCTGCTGGTGCCTTCTTGAGAGGGGTCTTCCACTTGTGAGGGGGAGATGCTGCTGCTACTCGCTGATTTGTGCACTGATTCCTCCTGTGTGGCAAGAGGAAAAGAAACAGAATTCCTCAGGGATTGTTCTTCCTTCTCTTACTACTTCTTAGCACACAGAAATCATAAGCTTTCAAAGGTATGTTGCACCATGCAATCACTCAAAGCCCTAGAAGAAGTCCCGAGAAAAACACTGACTCTACATAGTGCCAAGTAAATGGAATTTTTAACACTCAATTTTTTTAGAAACTGGAATAAATGGTACATGATTGGAATTCAGTGTATTTAACTATTGCGCGAAAGAACGAGGTCAGAAGAGAGGTGCATGAATCCACTGTAATATGTTAATTTTAAGGATTTCTAAGGATTTGCAGCTGCAGGACATACCTTAACTCAACTTTATATCTCACACTAGCAAGGAATCAGTGCTTGGATTTCTCTGGGCTCCAAAGGAATGAGAGCCACTCAAGTAACTCAGGTAAAGAGAAATTAATCTGATCTCCACTGCACTGTTCTGTAATCCCTGATCTTGGTGTGTTTCTACTTTCTTCTGTATTGAAATCTCATTTATTACATAAGCATGTTTCATCACAACAGCAAAGAGCAATTCCTGCAAGATGAATGAAAGTGAAATAGGCTTTGACTAACAACTTTAAATTATCTAAAGCACTATGCCGCCCAAATTATTAAATCCTTTGCTTTCACCTAAAACCTCTGTCATCAGCCGCCAGATACCAGCAAGATACAGATCACCACAGGACCCTCCCAAAGGAAAAGAGTTGAAGGACTGAGTGTAAATGCTGTTCAGCTCTAATGTGAATGCTTTTAACCAAGGAGACTTACATCTTTTAAATTGTCAAGATTTATAGATCAAACAAGTCATCTGCTCCAAAATCCAGCTTTGCTTCTCTCTCACAAATTTCCTTAGTTACATGAACTGCAAGCAGGTAAACCTCCACTGGCTGAAAGATTGCCTTCTTTGGTAACAGCAAGTCAGAAAAGAAAAGCTGGCAGGATCACCTCAATGAGCATCATGCACGACAGGACAGTGGCCTTTACAAATTCCTACCAGGTAATCTGTAATTTATGCTTAGCCCAGGGGTACGGGTTGTACGTGAGGACACGGTGATGTATACCGTTCCCACATATATGCCACCTCACAGTATTCTGCAAAGGGACACAAACCAGCTCAGATCCCAAAACAATATATTCACTTTAATGTGCTAAGTATGACACCGCAAAACAGTTGTGATGGGAAGCTTGTAGGGAGGTTTGAGCAGCACATTTAGCTACATCAGCTGTTTTACTTCCAGAGACCAGTACAGTTTCGCTACAGCACTAGCTTAGACAGCTTTGCCTATCACTGCTTCCTGCTGTACAGTTGCCTTGAAAGACCGCTGGAGAACTCGCAAGACAATTGGATGTGCTGTTCTTTAGAAGGGGTGCAACAGTGTCCACAAGTCTAGACAGAAACATTTAAATATTGTGAAGGAGAATGACCCCTGTACAAAGGGAATTACTAAACTTTTCCCTTTGTAGAAATCAAGCTCTTCTGAGTGGAAGATTACTTTTCCATTGCCAGAGAAACTAACAAGCTAAGACAAAGAACTAAGTAGGCCTGTCACTTAAAAAAACATAACCATGGTGCCATGTTACTTGTTTTTATGAATGAAAAGCAGCCAGGGCTTCAGACAGGGTGTTTTGAGGAGCAGGGAGGGAACAGCTGTCTCTGGAGCAGAATCTAAGCAATCCTTGCTCTAGAGAAGTCTCTGGTTCTGTGGGACCCTACCTAGTCCTGACCAAAAATTAGAAATGCTTCAGTTGTTGGCGTCTTATGCTGTAGAGCTTTATAAAAGACTGAGCCATGATTCAAGCAACAGTCTGTACGTTGAGTTTATTTACATGCTTTTCTGGGTTTTTTTGTTCAAATTTTTCTTCTATTTTTCTTGTGCCTGAAACACTGTCACAGAGAAAAGAGAGACAAAACAAGGTGCACAACTGAAAATATCAAAAGCCTATATATATTTTAATGCAAAACTGTAAGATAGGGATTACAGAAATGTTTCACATGTCTGTCTAATTTCGCTAATTGCTACCTTTCAATGGAAAGAAACAGCTATTGACTATTCTTCATTCCACTTCTGAACTCGAGATGGACAAGACGTCTCAGTCAGATGTTGCAAAACTAGGTAACATGTAGATGTCTCCATCTTGCTCTCATTTTTGTGAAAGACTCCTAGTTACTTCATTAGTAGTGGATGAACATTGGCTATCCCAGTGGCCTAGGAGTCTCGAAAAAAACAGAGTGAAAGAAATGGACAAAAATAGAGGAGTAAGGGGCTTCTCTATGATAAAGACCTTCTTAGGAGGCCTTTAGGAGCCACACTGCTTATTCTAAAGAATGAGATGGAAGGAACTGCCAGAGCCAATGGCTAAGTATAAAAAAATAGTATAAACAACCAACCCAGGGAGAACAGAAGGATGTATCATCCTACTTAGACAACAGGTATTCCTGGTTTGTCATTTCAAATTACTTTTTCTGTGCACAAACACATGCACTAAAAATGCTATTACTGCCCTATGATTTTTTGAGAAGGCTTTTTTGCGAATGAAATCTTGTGGAGTAAGTACTGATGAACCATTGTATGAATTTCTTAATATCAATACAGTAGCTGTTGACTATTATGGAAGACTACCTGACATTTTACATTTGAGGCTGGATCAACCCAACATCCACGACTGTGCAATTCTCCGTAGAGTGCTAAACAATTAGAATTTTACATGTACTGAGAAAGCTGCAGCTTTAAAGGCATCTGGTTAAAACATCTGAATATGTTACTGATATGATTTTTGTCCTGTGGCTTCATTAGGAAGATACCAGATACCATTTTTATATCTCTATCAACAATCACTATTAGCTTGCTACTTCTCTTAGCCACACAAAGCAAAATGGCACTTCTTGCTCCCCCTCTGAAACTGATTCCAGTGGCAATGCAGAAAAAAGTAAGGATGGAAAGCAGGAAAGGTTTTTACAACATCCATCCTTGCCAGCAAATGGGCATAGGGCTGTATCAGACCTTCCCTTTCACCTCTGGTTGGCAACACTGAGTGTTGGGGTGTAGTCTGCATCACAACACAGCTGAGAGAAGAACAAAGGGGATGCAAGGGGAAGAAAATGCTTCTGCATCATAGCTCATTTGGAGGTCTGCAGCTCAGCAGTGCAGATATTTGCAGCCTGTAATTTAGGGCATCACATAGTCATAATTTAACTCCCAGTGAGTAACTCTAAATAGGTTTAAGCCCAATTCAAATTGCAGGCAAAGAGGTGGCCAAGTCATTTACAGGCAATCAGGACAACACATACACTCTTCTGTGTGTTACATGCAAAGTAAAAGTCAGGAAATAAATAAGACATTTTGACAGAGCGATCTTTGCTTTCTTCAAATGTTCTATATCCCACTCACTTTGTCAGCTCAGAAAATTTCACCCAAACTCCCTTCAGTTTGTTTATTTACACTGCTTTAGCACTGCTCCTGAGCCCAAACCAGTATTCTGCTGAGCATCTTAATCATCTTAATTGCTTCACCATCTACTTGTGTTGACTCAAACCAGTACAGCATCTGTTCTCTGTGACAGCTCCATGTGGCTGATTTATTTTCCATTTATCTTTTGCTGTATGTTTCACAGCTTATTCTATATGACTTTGCTTGCCTAAACAGCATTCCTAATCCATAGTTGCAGTCAGACATCTTATTTTTCCCTCCTACAAGAATCGCTTCACACTTCCCTTTACAGAATTTTCTTTTACTGACTTTTGCACATTTTACCACGTGCATTATCGTGCTGCATTGGCTTCAAGATGCACTGAGCTACAAGCTGGGAAGCTGTAAGTTCAAGATCCAGCTCTCATTGACAGGTCTTAATATTCCTGCATCCTGCCCAGCTTCATTCATATTAACAAAACCTCATAGAGCCTGTATTGTAATTTTAAAGACTGCTGAGAGATTTCAGAATGCAAATCTCTTCTGCTTTCAAAACAGACGCACCAAATCATGCACCCACACAAGTCACCCATAGGATAACCCCTAATACAAAGACAGACAACCTTTCACAGATCAAGACAGTATGCAAAGAGATAAATTTCTCCCCACACATGTTCCTCCCCAGACTCCTATCTTTCAGCTTAGGTGCTTTTGTAAGTGCCTTGTCAGAAAACGCCTCCTTTCTCATTTACTAGAGAGAAAGAGTGTCAGGGAAGACGGCCTTCCCCAGGCTAAACAGCCTCTGTGAATAAACCCTGGCTGCATGTGCTTTCCACACAGCTTAACTTTCAGAAAGGTACAAACTCAATAATACTGGTGCAGAACACAAAGCTCATTCTTGAGGATGTTGTCTGGGTACTTCTTGAGGATCATTTATAATGAAGCTTTTAAGCTAGTGAGCTTTTTTAAGCTTTACTCTTTTTTAAGCTTTTTAAAATCTTTAACTCTGCATTTGAGAGAGGATGGACTCAAAGCTGTTTCTCCATCTAAGTGCTATTTGCTTGTCCCTATCTGTAAAACACTTAAGTGCTACTTCCCAAGCCTATATAGCAAACTAATGCACTGTCATTTGCACCAAACTGCAACCCCTCTGGCACAGCAGATGCTCTTTATTGAACAGCCAGTACAGTGAGACTGGCCTCACATCTGAGGCCTTCAGTGACAGCTCCCGCACGGGTGCCAGAAGGGTGCAACACATTTTCCTGCATCCCCAAAAGCATAATTGCTACATATATACTGTGGACAGGTATTGGGCATTTAAAAAAAAATAAGTAAATACTGGGTTTAAGGCCAAAATTAGCATTTAACTTTTTAAAAGAATATTCTCATTTTTGAGGTCTGATCTAATATTTTTGAAGTTCTGTGGGCTGACAAAGCAGTCATGGAAAATTCAGATTCTAATCTGCAAAATCACTTCTCAGATGATCAAGATCAGCAAATGAAGGAGTAAGACTCAACTCTGACAAATCGAGAAGCACGTTGCGTCTTAATTTTTTACCTCTGAATCTGAGCTGTCAAGTTCAGCCAACGTGGGAGCCTTAAGGAGTCTCTTGCGTTGTACTGTCGCTTGTGTGGCTCCGTTGTGCTTTCCTTGTGGTGCCAGGCCACCGTTCACTACAGAGGCATCCAGTAATTTTCTTCCAGCCTCTGGCGTAGATACATCTAGCAAAAGAAACAGAATAATTGGTGTTTGGACCTAATTTTTATTTTGCCTTCTCAAATCTTACTGCCAAGGCAATACTTACAAAAGGAAAAAAAAATACTGTGATAGTTACATGTGTGCAAGTATTTCACTTTAGCAATACATTGCTCCAAGAACTACAGTCAATGGCTTGTGGTATAGAAGCAATATGAAAGAATGAAAGCAGTGGAAAAAGCAGCAGTGCACAATACTAAAAACCAAGCTCAGACTAATAACAATCAACTTAAAAATAAATCCTGTGTTAAACCCAAAAATATTCTTCCTTCAACTTATAGTCTATAATTAACTATGTAACAAGTATCAGAAGAATGCACAACTGTATCTGGACAAGTGGGTTTCCAGTGAATCTGAAGACAATGCCACACAGAAATTGGCAGCTTTAGCTTAGACTACACCTAGTTTTTCTTGTGAGGACAGAATTACACTTTATTCTGCAGTATACAGAAAAGGAATGAAAATGAGCTAAATAACTAGCATTCATCAAAAAGATACACAATTCTTAGGTTTGCATGGTCATTTGTATTAAAAATATGTCTGTGATGCCAGATCTTCATGTAATAGCAGAAACATGAGGCTCCAGTGTTTCAGCTACATGAGTTTTACAAGGATGTAACTCCACTGAGTAAATTGCTCGGGATTTCTGCCACTGTGCAATGAAGATGTGCCTCAGATAATGTAAGCACTGCTGTGCTTAGCCTAGCTTAGCTTAGACAGTAAGATAATAACCTAGGCTTTGATATTTTAGGATAGCTTAGAGTTCAGCCTGATAAATCAGCTTTATTCTTGTAAAAGTACAAAGTGCAGTATTCCAATCTGTAGAAAATTATGTTGGAGGGAGAAGGAAAAGAAGGTTTTAATCTCCCATTTGCATGTATGCCTAAGCATCTGGTCTTTCTACTAATGTGTTTTTCTACCCTTGTAATTACAGGACTTGCTTCCCCTGTCTTGTAATAACAAAGTACCTCCAGGTATTTTAAGGCTAGGATAATGATGAGTTATTGTTCTCATTTTTATACATGGTGAAAAGAGGCACAGAAGGTCAAATGACTCGCACCTTAGGTTACCAGGAGGACTACGACAGTTAAATTATATCACCCAGATATTCCCAGTGTCAACAACATAATTACACATCATTTGGGGTTACTTACATAGTTACCCTGGTATGAACAGACATGGTCAATGCTACTACAACTTAATCTGCATTGACAAAAGCCATTCTTGTACTAAGTAAGTTAAAACTACACAGTTTAGACAAGGCCTCACTTGCAGCAGTGTGGGTCTGTTTTACAACAGTTTCATGACAGTAGCTATTGAAAAGGAGTAAGAAGATTAATAAGTTAAATCAATACACATTTTAAAGAATTAATTAGGTAACTGTTAAAAGCTGGAAACTGTGCAAGAAAGGACAGGGGATGCATTATAGTTCCTCTACAAATCATATCTTCAACTGGGACTGTAAGGAAAGGTGATTATTTGGGCTATTAAAGTCATGGTGACATTCCAAGCCTATGAATCTGTGTAGTACAGTGTTATTACTGCCTTCAGGTCCTCCCTACAAAGAGTTGCAATCAAAGACTTGGACTCTCTAACCCTTAGTTCCTATCTTCAAAGGCTTTGCTAATGGGTGTCCTGACTAGCACTATGGCTTATAGGTCATGGGTTTTTTCCTCCTAGATTTCTGTGAGTACAGCATGAACGTCCTCCACA